TTTAGATAAAAATATAACCCCAGCATGATATGTTGCGTATGATTATAATGTGTTAAACTGTATTAGTTTGGACCTATTTTTCTTCAATAAACTGATCTCACCTGTTGGACTGGGATAATTTAAAAGACAACCTGTGCTCTCCTCTCTTGCTTCAAAGGTAAGACTGCATCCCTTAAACAGATTAAAAAAGAGTTGTCTGAATTGAAACAGCAGTTAATTGAACCTAGGTTCTTCGGGGGGTTATAGAGGTGAGATCTTGCCGACGTTGGTGGATCTGAGCCAAGCAGCAAACTTACATAGACTCAATAACTTCGGTCAGGTCAATTAGTAGGTCAGAGTAATTTACCGGAATAAATTATCAGGACCTCTCCGACCACACACACACACACACACACACACACACACACACACACACACACACACACACACACACACACACACACACACACACACATACACACACACACTTTAACAAACTTTAGAATTGTTTTAATCTGTTCTCAGATAAAGATTTAAAAACATGATGGCTTTCTGTAGGAATACTACAAATGTATATTTATATCACACCTACCTTTACAGTAGTTATATTTATATCCAAAAGTCATTACAAAAATGCTTGGCTATACCAAAGCGACAGACTCGAGGATTTAACAACTCATAAAACAGGAGAGGATTAGTGAACAGCTGAGTGAACGCTAACATGTGGTTTACATGTATTGCATCATTGATAATAATTCAAGATATGCTTTTACAATGTGTACATCTATATTACATGTTTTATGTATTTTACTTTACTTATAGGGTACTGTACTGTTGGACCCCCAACATGCTCTGTTTCTGTCAACTTACAAATTATTTATCTAATATATCATATTCCAATGACTTGTATATAGACTCTCCTCGCACTATTTCTATCCTATTTTATTTGTATTTACTTGCACTATTTTCTCAGTTTATCTGTGTTATTGTGTTGCTCTGTTGGAGGAGCCTGTGACCTCAGATTTTCATTGACATATCTACACTGAAGCTGTGTACGCATGACAATAAAAGCCTTGAATCTAATCTTGAATATAATAGTGAAAGAGGGTCTTACAGCAGCCAGAAGTTGACCTCCACTCCTCCAGGGTCACGTTGGCTTCCAGGCTGCAGGCCTTGGCGTAAGCCTCCAAAAACTGGCAGTCGACCCCATCCGCTGACGGGTATCTGCACAGAGTGTGTGTGCAGGCGCTGATGTACGGCTCTGGGTCGGTGTGCTCGTGACAGGCGGAGAAGGGAGGCTGCCTCATGATATTACAGCTGTGGAGGGAGAGAGGATGATCAGTTTTCTGAACATGTGTTCCAGAAACATCCTTGCATCATCTGTGTCTTCATGGCTCAGTTCTTACTGGTCAGTGGAGCGGTTGCAGTTGATGGAGATGTCGACTGAGTCCTGGTACTGAGTCTCACAGCTAGAGGGAGACAAACATCACAAAATCAAACAACAAATATCAGTCAGACTATTATGCCCCTTTTCCAGCAAACCGGTTCCGGGCTAGAGCCGGATTAAGCTCTGGTTCTTCCTGTTTCCACCGCAGTGGGGCCGGCTCTAAGGGAGAGTATCTGTAATATTGGAGATTAACCTGAGCAATAAGAGTTCATGGTGAGTATGGCAAATAAAAGATGTAACAAGCAGTAGCTTTTTAATGAAAAATACGCCGGTAAAATATGCCTGTAGAAAACGGCTAAAGTAGTCAAGACAGTCAGATTAGCTTCGGTTGCTATGCTAAGATCAACCATTTCATACTAGAGAAACTTTCATAACAGCGTTGTGATGCCAAACAGTGTCAATTCAGACTGACACACATTCACTTATATTTATCAGCTGCTGTGTGACAGTCAGACAGAATAAACTCTGCCGTGAGTTAACGGGAGAATAAACTCTGCCGTGAGTTAACGGGAGAATAAACTCTGCCGTGAGTGGTCGAGCAGCACTGCAGCTGTCGGTAAATGTATTAATAAACAATGAAGCACTCTGGAGAAAAGTATAAGGGTTGAGAAGTAGTTCTTTAATCTGGCTTCGTTTGATTAAAAGCAACACGACCAGTGGCGGCTGGTGGAAAATATTTTTGGTGGGGCTGTTGATATAGTGAGAAATATTGGGAGAAATGACCCCTTAAATTAGGACTTCTGGTGATGTAATGGCACGTTTCCACTGCAGCGCGGAGCTCGCTTTAAGCGTGCCGAGCCGTGCGGGGCCCGTTTTTGGTTGCGTTTCCACTTGGCCTAGTACCGGCTAGCGGGTCCTAATTCACAGTTTTTCTGGCCCCATAAAATCGTGGTTCTAGGGCCAGGAACAACCAGGCTGAGTCGGGCTGAGTATGCTAAACTAGAGAGAGAATCGCTGGCAAGGGAATGGAGATTGGCTAAGCTAACGTTGTATATGCTCCGACCGTCCACACTCACAAGAACGGCCTATACAGACATAAATAAAGCAGCGACTGTATTCGCCATGACACAGGCAGTCTGTGGTTTGTAATTGTTTAACTTTTGTCTAGTTTCTGAACAGATATGAAGAGCTGTGAGCTCTGAGTGCTAAGAGCTAACGGCTGTGTTGTTATGCTATGTTAGCTTTGCCTAGCATGGCTAGCTTGAAGGTACTTGTCATACGTGCACTCGTGCTTTTTAATTTTTTCGGACTTCATATCGGCTTCATATCGTTTACCCCCGTCACAGTCCACGGGCACATCGTATCTGTCCCCGGCTGTTTGAAGATCAAGCATGGGAAACAAAAGACAGCATTTACCTGTTTGCATCCAGCTAGCCATGCCTTTCTGGTGTACCAGCTACGTGAGAAGCCTCGTTGATACGTTTTGTCTTTTTCACGAGCTTGCTGTGATATATACAAATCGGGTTGGTCCGGTCCAAGGTCTTTAAGCAACAGTTTATCTCCCAAACTTCTCCTTTCGAAAGGATTGGAGAGTAGCTCTTGCACGGAATTGGGTGCGGACCGAGGTCCGGCGACTCCACCTGCACACGAAGCCATTCTCATCCAAGTACTGCGTCACCTTGGTCACTCACGAGTCTAAAAAACAACTCACGTCAACGCACGTAAGCAACGTGGGCGCCAACGTGAGCGCCCTCGTGACCAAAATATTTGACGGCGCTGATTGGCTGAAATTATGTTTCGGCGGCACAGTTTACTATTGAGACTTTTGTAACGTGCTGGTTGCTGCTGTTTGGCTCGGGGGCTCCGCCCGGTAATGATAAACTAATGCCATGGGCAAGGCCAGGCAGGAAACATGTGACTTATCAGTAACTTTAGACATCGTAACACCATTTTAAACGAGATTTTATGGTAGATTATACATTTTACTGATAGCAATTGTATGATATTTACCTTGTTCATTAAAAATAAAAATATAAAATATATATTCTTTTAAAAAAAAAAATTTAATTTAAGATTTTTTTTAATATATTTTTTTGTATGTGGGAAGAGGTGGGGCGGCACCCCTAGCACCCCTATGGGCCGGCCGCCACTGATAGAGGACCTGAAAACTACAGAGGACTTGAGAGTAATCACATTACTTCAGGTGGGGTTTATAAAAACCAATGCGACACCTGCTCGAAATTATATTAATGTTTAAATAGAATAATGGTTGTAAATAATAAATAAAAAAAAGAGGAGGGATCCCTCTCCCAGGACGGACAGACGTGCAATAGATGCCGTATGTAAATCGAAGAGATAATACATTTGCAGCATAGGTAGTCCACTTTATCAGGGTTGGTTCACTTGGTATCCTCTTTTTGTAAATGTTTATATGTATACCTGCCACTGTTGCTGCTGGACTCTAAAGCCAAGTCAGCTGGGAGTGCTGCTGACAAACTGGTGGAGATGTCCAGAGGAACTGATTCATCAGAGGAGACGTTCAGATTTAGAAAGATCTTGCTTTGTTTTGGTCATGTTGAGGAAAATGTACATCATGTCCATTATTTGGATACTGATACGAAGTGATTAGGGCACCTAGTGAACCTGAGAGGTATTTGCCGATTGCGCTGGCTGTAAAGAATCTCTCAGCCCATAAGTGATGTATTGGATGGGTAACTCAAGTACTGTACTAAACTCACGCTCGCCACTGACTAAAGTTCCATTTTGAGGTACTTGTACAAAATGTGTGTCTGAAGAAGGAGAATAAGATGAGAAAAGTATGTTGAATACTTTACTCTGTGTGGTTTCGCCAGTCACAGAGTAAAGATTATTTATTTAATTGTTACCCCTGACTTTTGTCATCGACTCCTTTGAATTTAGAAAAGATATTTCAAACATGAGATTTGCATGTTAGCTTTCTGAAAACCACAGGAGCCCCGTCTGAAGGAGTGTTGCAGAATGTAACCTGAGTGACAGGTGGCAAGTGAATGAAAGACTTGAGAATGACAGTTAAAGGTCATCTTTTAATGGTACTGTTTGTGCTGTGTTGAGAACCTGGTCCATCTTGTGAGGGCTGTTCTCCGTGTACAGGAAACCCTGCAGTTCTTAGAAGTGACTCACACGACTACACGACTAGTCTTTAGATATCACATTTAGAATCAGATGCATATGAATATCAGGGTTGGAAATGTCATTAACATTTTCCATTTGTACAACATATTATCAAAAATGATCCTCAGAAGTAAATATCTCATTGGGGAGAGCTGCATATACCAATTACCCTGGTGCACTCACGATTTAAAAAACACTGTACGGTGTTAAGAAGAAATCTTCAATAATCTCCTTTTCTTTTAGAATATCTGCACAGCCAGAATAATCAGCTAACAGTCTTTAATTAAACAAATGATTTATACAAGGCACAGTAAGTACAACACTACTTACACAGGGGTGAATGACAGCATGAGTCTGCTGAAGATTTGATTCTGACTTTTTGGAAAATTCTCACTTTTTACTGAAAATTCATATTTATTTCGGAAAATTCGGACTTTTATTAACTAAACTAAACATACAATATTTAACACAGTTGACGACGCACAACAGTTTCTGACTTTATTCTGAAAATTCTGTCACGGACGTACAAAGTGCAAAAGCACGGATGCAGACACAGGATTCAAGTACAAAAAGAGTCTTTACTTGATTTGTTGATACAGATGTGCGGTGATTCCAAAAACACTACAGACAATAAATATCTACACTAACGCTTACCTATCCAAAACTAGTAAAATACTTAATACCTACTACCTGATCTTTCTATTTCTATAAACGTGGACTCTGACTATTACTGTAACTGGATGATGATGTGAAAACGCAGGAGAGCTCGGCATAACACTCAAGACAATCTGGCAACGAGACAGTGAATGGCTCGGCCTATTTAAACTGACATCACCAGGTGCAGACAATAATGACGTGACAACCAATCAGACGGTGGAAAGGACAGGATGTAACTATGACACAGATAATTCAGGCATTTCAAATGTGACTTTTCTACCTTTGTCGAAGCTGAGGGCTGTACTTGTCTTCACCTGTCCGGTCGTCATGAAATCGCTTAATACAATATATAAATAACAGTTTCTTAATTGAAAGTCTCCAACAGCAAAGATATTATTTAATGTATGAAGTTTTAATTAAAATAGTTTTGTATTATTAATCTTAATAACATCATTACATTCCTCTGTTTATTTCTGTCACTAAATATATATAGTTACATCAAAACCAGTCTCTCCTGACTGAAGTACCACAGTGTAGAAATACTCTGTAACAAGTCCTGCATTGAACTAAATGTTACTAAAGTCAAAGTAGTTGTAATCAGCTAAATTAAGTATTAAAAGTAAAAGTAACCAATGCAGGAAAATCCAAAATAAATGCAAAAATACGAAACTAAATTAATCATAATAACCGAAAACGAGTCAAATGTTCATATTTCTATCGTATTGAAATACATCAGACATTTATTTAGTTGTTTCTTTATGCAGAAGTCTAAGTAACTAACGCTGAAGGTAGTAAAGGAAAAAGTATAATATGTCCCTTTGAATTGTAGTGGAGTAGAAACACCAAATGGCATAAAAAGAAAATATACAAGTGAAGTACAAGTACCTCAATCTTCACGTAGGTACAGCATTACACTCCCTGCTCCTAACTCAAGCTGAGAATCAGTGATTTATTTGAGGCAGCTTCATCTGAATTGAAGTGAAATGATTAGTACTGAGTGTTAGTGAGAGCTCAGATCGTCTGCGGCTGATTTGAAGTCGTGTTTTCGTCCGACCGACCGCCACCTCCTTCAGGCTCAGAGGAAACAGCGTCTGCAGGTGAATCCCCGACCGCCTGCTGGATCTGTTGAGAGTCCTCTTCTTCCTCCTCCATCCCATCATGCACCTCCAGCTTCTCCTCGTCCTCCATCACAAACAAATTGTTCATGGAGTCGGCCACCGCCTCCCTCAGCTCGTCCTCAGACTCCTCGAAGTTCCTGTTGAGAAACGGGAAAGTGAGACACTCTCTCAGTCGGAAGGTGGCGATGGTTCTGTACAAAATCTACAGTGCTATCAAAACTTCATCTCTAACTAAACTACTATCTAAATCACTGACTACCATCAGACTACGTAACTAACTGAGTTTAACTAACCAATTAACTACCTAACTAACTGACTGAGTGTAACTAACCAATTAACTACCTAACTGACTGACTGAGTGTAACTAACCAATTAACTACCTAACTGACTGACTGAGTGTAACTAACCAATTAACTACCTAACTGACTGACTGAGTGTAACCAACCAATTAACTACCTAACTGACTGACTGACTGTAACTAACCAATTAACTACCTAACTGACTGACTGAGTGTAACTAACCAATTAACTACCTAACTGACTGACTGAGTGTAACTAACCAATTAACTACCTAACTGACTGACTGAGTGTAACTAACCAATTAACTACCTAACTGACTGAGTGTAACTAACCAATTAACTACCTAACTGACTGACAGAGTGTAACTAACCAATTAACTACCTAACTGACTGACAGAGTGTAACTAACCAATTAACTACCTAACTGACTGACTGAGTGTAACTAACCAATTAACTACCTAACTAACTGACTGAGTGTAACTAACCAATTAACTACCTAACTGACTGACAGAGTGTAACTAACCAATTAACTACCTAACTAACTGACTGAGTGTAACTAACCAATTAACTACCTAACTGACTGACTGTAACTAACCAATTAACTACCTAACTGACTGACTGAGTGTAACTAACCAATTAACTACCTAACTGACTGACTGAGTGTAACTAACCAATTAACTACCTAACTGACTGACAGAGTGTAACTAACCAATTAACTACCTAACTGACTGACAGAGTGTAACTAACCAATTAACTACCTAACTGACTGACTGAGTGTAACTAACCAATTAACTACCTACCTGACTGACTGAGTGTAACTAACCAATTAACTACCTAACTGACTGACTGAGTGTAACTAACCAATTAACTACCTAACTGACTGACTGAGTGTAACTAACCAATTAACTACCTAACTAACTGACTGACTGAGTGTAACTAACCAATTAACTACCTACCTGACTGACTGACTGTAACTAACCAATTAACTACCTAACTGACTGACTGAATGTAACTAACGAATTAACTACCTAACTGACTGACTGAGTGTAACTAACCAATTAACTAACTAACTGACTGAGTGTAACTAACCAATTAACTACCTAACTGACTGACTGAGTGTAACTAACCAATTAACTACCTAACTGACTGACTGAGTGTAACTAACCAATTAACTACCTACCTAACTGACTGAGTGTAACTAACCAATTAACTACCTAACTGACTGACTGAGTGTAACTAACCAATTAACTACCTAACTGACTGACTGACTGTAACTAACCAATTAACTACCTAACTGACTGACTGACTGTAACTAACCAATTAACTACCTAACTGACTGACTGAGTGTAACTAACCAATTAACTACCTAACTGACTGACTGAGTGTAACTAACCAATTAACTACCTAACTGACTGACTGAGTGTAACTAACCAATTAACTACCTAACTGACTGAGTGTAACTAACCAATTAACTACCTAACTGACTGACTGAGTGTAACTAACCAATTTACTACCTAACTGACTGACTGAGTGTAACTAACCAATTAACTAACTAACTGACTGACTGAGTGTAACTAACCAATTAACTACCTAACTGACTGACTGAGTGTAACTAACCAATTAACTACCTAACTGACTGACTGAGTGTAACTAACCAATTAACTACCTAACTAACTGACTGACTGAGTGTAACTAACCAATTAACTACCTACCTGACTGACTGACTGTAACTAACCAATTAACTACCTAACTGACTGACTGAATGTAACTAACGAATTAACTACCTAACTGACTGACTGAGTGTAACTAACCAATTAACTAACTAACTGACTGAGTGTAACTAACCAATTAACTACCTAACTGACTGACTGAGTGTAACTAACCAATTAACTACCTAACTGACTGACTGAGTGTAACTAACCAATTAACTACCTACCTAACTGACTGAGTGTAACTAACCAATTAACTACCTAACTGACTGACTGAGTGTAACTAACCAATTAACTACCTAACTGACTGACTGAGTGTAACTAACCAATTAACTACCTAACTGACTGACTGACTGTAACTAACCAATTAACTACCTAACTGACTGACTGAGTGTAACTAACCAATTAACTACCTAACTGACTGACTGAGTGTAACTAACCAATTAACTACCTAACTGACTGACTGAGTGTAACTAACCAATTAACTACCTAACTGACTGAGTGTAACTAACCAATTAACTACCTAACTGACTGACTGAGTGTAACTAACCAATTTACTACCTAACTGACTGACTGAGTGTAACTAACCAATTAACTAACTAACTGACTGACTGAGTGTAACTAACCAATTAACTAACTGACTGACTGACTGAGTGTAACTAACCAATTAACTACCTAACTGACTGACTGAGTGTAACTAACCAATTTGCTACCTAACTGACTGACTGAGTGTAACTAACCAATTAACTAACTAACTGACTGAGTGTAACTAACCAATTAACTACCTACCTAACTGACTGAGTGTAACTAACCAATTAACTACCTAACTGACTGACTGAGTGTAACTAACCAATTAACTAACTAACTGACTGAGTGTAACTAACCAATTAACTACCTAACTGACTGATTGAGTGTAACTAACCAATTAACTAACTAACTGACTGAGTGTAACTAACCAATTAACTAACTAACTGACTGAGTGTAACTAACCAATTAACTACCTAACTGACTGACTGAGTGTAATTAACTAACTGACTGAGTGTAACTAACCAATTAACTACCTAACTAACCAATTACTGTCCAACTAACTGACTAACTGACTGAGTTTAACAAATGAATTGTCCAATAACTGACTAATTAACTACCTAGCAAACTGATTGACTAAAAAACGAATTTATTAACAGACTGACTAACTCATCAAAGAACTAACTGAGTGTAACTAACCAATTAACTACTAACTAGCTAACTAACTGACTGAGTTTAACTATCCAATTAACTGTCTTACTAACTGACTGACTAACTAATTAACTACCTAACTAACTGAGTGTAACTAACCAATTAACTAACTAACTACTTAACTAACTGATGGACTAAATACATACCACACAGTATTCATGTGTTAATAAACCCACTTTTTCCATAAATGCAGTCAATTAAAACAAGTTCTAACAAATGTAAGTTGAAAAAATAGCCCAGTAACTGATTTGCATAATAACTTTAAATAGACCCTTAATATCTCCCCTCATTATGAGCACTGTTCTGTTTAAGGGATGAGTTTAAGGGATGAGTTTAAGGGATGATCTGCAACACAATAACTGAAACCCCGTGAGAGCTGAGATGTTGGATTTTGCTAACTTATAACTGAACTTATCCACTGAAACTCTGACCCCTAGATTCCACCGGGTCCGTCTGCGGCGCGGTTTTGGTCCGGCCTCCTCCGGCGTCATACCCTACCGGTCGCGTTTCAGAAGCATTTCAGAAGCAGAGCGTCTTGCCTGCCGGCTCGCAGTCTTTGTTGATTTGGGCATGTTTCCTGGACAGGCTGCTTTGTACAGACACAGTTAATAATAATTGTAATATCCCAGTTATAAACGACAGGAATCAAAGATGCGTTGCTGTATTTTAGCGGTAAAAAAATGCATTCATCATCATAATTATTCTATATATATAATTTACACAGTGCCTGTAAACCGGAGGGATAGGGTCTGCAATTTAGTTTATTTTGGGGATGGGCCGGATGCTCTGACCGGTCCACTTCCTGCCTTTGCAACGCCTCGCGTCGAAAAATAGACTTGAATCCTATTTTGAGCGGAGCCCAGCGGCGAGACGCTTCTGGGACGCTTCTGAGCCGTAACTTGGCGCGTCTGGTGGAATAGCACCCATTGACTAGAACGCGGCCGTAACGCAGCCGTAACGCGCCGCAGACGGACCCGGTGGAATCTAGTGGTAAAGCACAAAATAAAAAGGAGTGGAGTCGACTAACGTGTCGTCATCGTCTGACCGCAGCTCCAGAGCATCTTCATCCATTTCCACATCAGAGTCTTCCTCCTCCTCCTCTTCCTCTGAATCTAACAGAAAACACAGTTCAGTGGACACAGGTGTACATTTACTTACAGTGGGGCAAAAAAGTATTTAGTCAGCCACCAATTGTGCAAGTTCTCCCATTTAAAAAGATGAGAGGCCTGTAATTTTCTCCTAGGTACACCTCAACTATGAGAGACAGAATGAGAAAAAAAAAAAATCCAGAAAATCACATTGTCTGATTTTTCAAGAATTTATTTGCAAATTATGGAGGAAAATAAGTATTTGGTCAATAACAAAAGTTCATCTCAATACTTTGTTATATACCCTTTGTTGGCAATGACAGAGGTCAAACGTGTTCTGTCTTCACAAGGTTTTCACACACTGTTGCTGGTATTTTGGCCCATTCCTCCATGCAGATCTCCTCCAGAGCAGTGATGTTTTGGGGCTGTCGCTGGGCAACACGGACTTTCAACTCTCTCCAAAGATTTTCTATGGGGTTGAGATCTGGAGACTGGCTAGGCCACTCCAGGACCTTGAAATGCTTCTTACGAAGCCACTCCTTCGTTGCCCGGGCGGTGTGTTTGGGATCATTGTCATGCTGAAAGACCCAGCCACGTTTCATCTTCAATGCCCTTGCTGATGGAAGGAGGTTGTCACTCAAAATCTCACGATACATGGCCCCATTCATTCTTTCCTTTACACGGATCAGTGGTCCTGGTCCCTTTGCAGAAAAACAGCCCCAAAGCATGATGTTTCCACCCCCATGTTTCACAGTAGGTGTTCTTTGGATGCAACTCAGCATTCTTTCTCCTCCAAACACGTCTAGTTGAGTTTTTACCAAAAAGTTCTATTTTGGTTTCATCTGACCATATGACATTCTCCCAATTCTCTTCTGGATCATCTAAATGCTCTCTAGCAAACTTCAGACGGGCCTGGAGTCTGGACATGTACTGGCTTAAGCAGGGGGACACATCTGGCACTGCAGGATTTGAGTCCCTGGCGGCGTAGTGTGTTACTGATGGTAGCCTTTGTTACTTTGGTCCCAGCTCTCTGCAGGTCATTGACTAGGTCCCCCCGTGTGGTTCTGGGATCTTTGCTCACCGTTCTTGTGATCATTTTGACCCCACGGGGTGAGATCTTGCGTGGAGCCCCAGATCGAGGGAGATTATCAGTGGTCTTGTATGTCTTCCATCTTCTAATAATTGCTCCCACAGTTGATTTCTTCACACCAAGCTGCTTACCTATTGCAGATTCAGTCTTCCCAGCCTGGTGCACGTCTACAATTTTGTTTCTGGTGTCCTTTGACAGCTCTTTGGTCTTGGCCATAGTGGAGTTTGGAGTGTGACTGTTTGAGGTTGTGGACAGGTGTCTTTTATACTGATAACGAGTTCAAACAGGTGCCATTAATACAGTTAACGAGTGGAGGACAGAGGAGGCTCTTAAAGAAGAAGTTACAGGTCTGTGAGAGCCAGACATCTTGTTTGTTTGTAGGTGACCAAATACTTATTTTACCGAGGAATTTACCAATTAATTCATTAAAAATCCTACAATGTGATTTCCTGGATTCTTTCCCCCCATTCTGTCTCTCATAGTTGAAGTGTACCTAGGATGAAGATTACAGGCCTCTCTCATCTTTTTAAGTGGGAGAACTTGCACAATTGGTGGCTGACTAAATACTTTTTTGCCCCACTGTATAAGTTATATTGTGAGATACTTGTAGTTTACTTGAGTATTTCCATGTTATTACATTGCATTTAGCTGACGCTTTTGTCCAAAGCGACTTACAATAAGTACATTCGACCAGGAAGACACAACCTTGAAGAAAATGTGTTGCTACTGTGTACTTTTCCTCCCCTACATGTATGTACCTTTAGTTACTTCACAGATGTGGATGAATGATTTGAAATCTAATCAAGTGTTGAATCAGACTTTAGTTCCACCTGGAGTAAATCCACCAGCTACCCTGCAGAATACAAAGTCATTCAAACTAGCTGCACCTTCACCAGCTTTGAGAACACTTTCATGATCAACCATTATAAAACACATCATATATATTATTCTGAAATGGACCAATCTGCACAACGAATACTTTTACTGTCGCTACTTTCACTATATTTTGATGAGAATACTTTTCTACTTTCACTTGAGGAACATTTTGAATGTGACTTTTACTGTAACAGAGTATTCCTACACTCTGGTACTTCTACTTTTAGCACCAAATAAATATCTGTTTAGCAATATTATCAATCTAAATGTTTCGTTTACAAGATACAATTTGCTCTCACTGTCAGGGTGCGTGGAAAAGGTAGGACCCAAAAGCAGTATTAACAAAAAGCGAGCTTTAATTTACAAAAAAAAGCCGATGACAAAACAAGACAAGAGACAAAGTTAGCATTACCAAAAAACAGGGGAGCACGAGTAAATAATCCAGGACCAAAACTTCGAGGACAAACATGGAGCGTGACATGAAGGGAACGACAAACAATGAACCAACACTGAACACAGGAAGAGACGAGACTAAATACAGGGAGGGGTAATCACAAGACGAGAAACAGCCGGGCAGGGGAGGAGAAACACAAGGGCACACACACTCAGACAACTAGACACACCAGGGAAACTAACGACAGGAGGAAAAACACAGGGAGAGGACCAGACAATAACCCAGGAGGAAAACATGACAGGGAGAACAGAACAGCAAAATAAACCCAAACCTAGACATAAAAACGTGACATAACATGAATATCGTGACACTCACAGCATATGGTGAACAACATCATCCACTGGGAGAGACTTTTGAATAACACATTGCTCGACAAAATACCTCAATCTTCTGATAGTCATGTACTGGAGTATTTATTGATGTTATGAGGAATTATCACTATAGTTATATGTGCACTGTACGCACATCCAGAACAAGCCAATGGAAAGGATCATTGTGATTTATCTTGTCACCACTAATGCAGGTCAATGTGATGTCTGACCTGCAGTTTCAGGTAGAGTAGAGTTGATAGTGGATGATGAGAGTTGTGCCTGAGAGAGGGCGATCAGCAGGGTGGAGGGGGGGACAGCGACCCAATGTCTGCGACCTGCTGCCTCTTCACCTGGGGGGGCATACACTAAGTATATCAGTTCCTTTGTGACCTCCTGCACATCAACAAACCCCCCCCCCACACTCTCAGGTCTTCTGCTTGTCTTTTTATCTGCAAACTAAATCTACCTACGGGAACAAATAAAGAACCTGAACCTTCCATTCTCCTCACTGCACCACCTACACTCCACCTTTCTGTTTGACCCACACAGTCTCACACAAAAACGTGTAACAGCTCCGTTTGTCCACCGGGCAAAACGTAGTATATTCACAAATAACCCTCTCAAGACTAGTGTTAATTTCGTTGACTAAAACTATGACGAAATATGTTCGTCAACGACCTTTTTTTCCATGACGAAAACGAGACGATGACGAGACGGCACCGACGGCAGTAAACAATAACTGCAACGAAATCATCATACAATATCGTTGACGAAAAGTGACGAGACGAAAATGTAGTTTACTAAATAAAAACTATGCCAAAATCTCTCTTTACTTTCGTTGATGAAAAATGAGGAGACGAAATATTATCAAAGAAAACGTTACATCTCTGATCGTCAGTTTTTCTCCCAGCAGTTCCATTTCCGGTGCTGCGGCTGGGCAGCAGCTGTGTGTGTCTGTGCTGCAGCTGGGCAGCAGCTGTGTGTGTCCGTGCTGCGGCTGGGCAGCAGCTGTGTGTGTCTGTGCTGCGGCTGGGCAGCAGCTGTGAGTCTGTGCTGCGGCTGGGCAGCAGCTGTGAGTCTGTGCTGCGGCTGGGCAGCAGCTGTGTGTCCGTGCTGCGGCTGGGCAGCAGCTGTGTGTGTCCGTGCTGCGGCTGGGCAGCAGCTGTGAGTCTGTGCTGCGGCTGGACAGCAGCTGTGTGTCCGTGCTGCGGCTGGGCAGCAGCTGTGTGTCCGTGCTGCGGCTGGGCAGCAGCTGTGTATCTGTGCTGCGCGCGGCGGTACATTTGAATTACACCGGGCAGCTGCACACTGTGAACTGTCAGGAAGACTCGGGTCTAACTCATGGTCTAACTAACCTTATTCAAAATAAAATAAAATGGCAACAACAGGGCTTGGGAGCAGTGGTCGCATTCGCGTTAACCGAATACCCCCCGTCAGCGCGAGTGAGTGATCAATTGTGTACTCGTTGACTAAAATAATTAGTTTTCTTTGACTAAAATAAGACTAAAATGCTCAGACTTTTAGTCGACTAAAACTTGACTAAATAAAAACAGGATGAAGGTGACTAAATATGACTAAAACTAAAAAGGAAATGTAACAAAGGACTAAAACTAAATAAAAAAATAGCTGACGAAATTAACACTACTCAAGACGTGACATGGATACAATATTTTGTAAAAAAAAACATGGAGCTCAAATAATCTTGGTAATATCTATCAAACTATGGATCCTACTCATCCACTGGACGTAGAGTCTGAAAGTACAATATACACTTCTCGCTAGAAATGTAATCAAAAAGCATTTTAACGCCAAACTCTCCTACAATTTAGGATTTTCCACTAAAAATAAATCGGGTGTCCGCCATGTGTTTTTTTCTCGCGCTGGGAAAGTGTGCGATCACGTGACACGGACACTGCTCATTAGAAATGAATAGGAACACATATTGTATCCATGTCACGTCTTGAGAGGGTTATTTGTGAATATGCTACGTTTTGCCCTGTGGACCGACGTAGCTATTTCACATTTTTTTTGTGAGACTGGGTTTAACCAGCAGGGGTCCAGAGCCTTCAGCCGCTCTACAAGAAAAAGAAAAACTGACTTACTAACTAACCAACTAAGTAACTAACTAATTAACTAACTAACTAACTGCCTCACTAACTGACTGACTAAAAACAAACGTACTTACTAACTGAACATCTGAAATAATTAACCATCTAACTAAGTAACCGACTGATTGATTGTAACTTACCAATTAACTAACTAACAAACAAACAAACCTACTAACTTACCTAACAACTGACTGACTAAATGACTGATTAACAAACATCCTAACCTACTACCTAACTAACTATCTCAGTGTAACTAACCAATAACTCACTAACTAACTCACTAACCAATAACTCACTAATTAACTCACTAACTAACTCACTAACCAATAACTCACTAATTAACTCACTAACTAACTCACTAACCAATAACTCACTAATTAACTCACTAACTAATTGACTAACAGACAAACCTACTAACTGACGTACAAAAAAACAGCTAACTGACTAATTTACTAAATAACTAACTATCTATCTACCTAACTGACTGGCTAACTTACTAAATAACTAATAACTGAGTTTAACTAAGTAACTAACTAACTGACTTACTGACTAACTATCGGACGATCTAACTAACTTACTAACTAACTAATTAATTAACAAACGAACAGACTGACTAACAAATAAACCTACCAACGTTCCTGCTAACTACATGTCTAACTAAGCAAATAACTCAGTAACAACTAACTGACTTACTCACAAACTAACCTAATGACTAACCCACTAACTGACTTACTAACTAACTGAGTGTATACCAATTAACTGAGTAACTGACTGACTAACTCACTAACTAACCTACATACGAACTAACTAACTAGTATACCATTATATACAGCTGTATTACAGGTGTACTGCACCTGGTTCCTCGATGACAGCCGTGCTGTGGTTGGAGTTCACCTCCATGTTGGCGAGGGCGTCCAGTAGAGTCTGAGGAGTCCTCTGGCTCCACCCCCTCCTCCCCTCTGACCAATCCCTGAGCTTCAGCTCCTCCCCCTCCTGGAAGCTCAGAGTCCGGTTCAGAGGGTCCACTTCCTGTTCAGAGTTCAGGAACAGAAGGAGAGAGAGAAAAGAGGAGAGGTCTCTTACCAAAACCCCATGAAGAGCGGCAGCCGTTTAAGCAAATTATTGTAGTGGCCAAACGGCGGTACTACAACTTCCGTTTGAGTCCGTGACGTCTATAGAGTGGTGCAGTGATGAGTCCTCAAACCCGGAAGTTAGCATGTCACCACTTCCTGTTCCCCTGTCTCAGAGCCAATGGGATCTCTCCATAGGGTTTAGGAAGATATCTGAACTAAGGTCTGTGTTTGAGACTCATTGAAGACACGGATCACGTTTTGTTCCACATTAAATCCATCAGCAGAGACCCCACTGGTGATTTCTAAAGAGTTGACGTGTCTGAGAAACGATGGTTGTTACCAAGTGGCTGAATAGGACTACAGAAGTCGTGGACGTTGTACGTCATTACGCCGAACACGTGAACACTCCTCTGAGTTAGTTTCTGTTCTGCTTGAGAGCAAGTCCCTGCCTCCTGCAAAGTGTTCAAACAAACGCTTCAACTCGTTCCATCTAGAATCTGTGTGTTTGAATCTGGATCTGAAGTCGGCGTGACGTTGAAGTCGTGCTGCTGGACGTTAGCATTTAGCTTCTGGACATTAGATTTATGATTAGAACATTATGAAAGTAGACATGTGGAGATTATCCTGAACAAAACATTTATCAAACAGGTTCGTTTTCCACAGACCTTATTTTTTACAATATTCCTAAACCCTCTGGAGAAACCCGGTTGCTTTCTGTCGAGGGAACCAGCCGCTTCCTTCAGGGTCGACCTACACAAACACGTCCTCCCTGCTCCGCTCTATGGGCACGAAAATACTTTTTCCCATTGACTCACATTGGGAAAGAAACGCCTGTAAATCAGCGGATCATTTTGAACTAAATAAACGACCCAGCTCGAACAGGGAATGAACGAGGTCCCGCCTCCAACGCTGGATCCAGTTCTCTCTGCACATCCTTACCTCCTCCTGCTGCTGCTTTTCTCTTCCATCCCCCTCTTCCTCCTCTGCTTCCTCTTCTTCATCATCCAACCGTATTTCAAACATGATTCCTTTCTGTAGAAATTACACACAAACAAACACTCATCATCTGGTCAGGGGTTACTCATTTCTTTCGGTGAGGAGGAACATTCAGATTCACACTTTTGCTGTTGTTTAGAGAGGTTTTCGTGGGTTTGCTGGGCCTCCATAGAACAGCGCAAGTAGTGTAAACAAATATCGTTTCAAGGCTGTTGAAGATAAAGAAGCCTGTACATTAACTCCAACAGACACCTCCATCCTCACTGTGCTGTAAATCCATTCGGTCCTCCACTGAGAGCAGGACTATGCAGTCTGGCTGCTTCACTCAATGTTTTACAAACTTCCATGACTTTGAATGGAAAGCTAAAACCAGAGCTGGTCGTTTGTGTTATTTTACGTGAAGTATTCAAATGTTTTCAATCTGGAAAGTATGAAACTCTCCTGAGCTGAATGTTTAGTTGACCTCCTCTCTGAGTTTCCTCAGAGCTGCCTCCATGTCCTGCAGCCGAGACATAAGAGGAAATGCTGTCAGAGACTAATACGCTAGGTATTGTTGTTAGTTTGTTCTGACTTACATATTATAATGGCATGTTTGATTTCTGGAGAGAAGCTCCACGATTCATGTCACTGAGAACCCTCAGTGTTCAGACTGACGGGGAGAAGCCTGCAAAGTTAGTTCAGGAAGTCAACTCGAGCCGACTTGATACATTTACATGTGACGCGCCTCGTCCCTCTTACAGCCAACAAAACACATGACCCTTGACCTGATGCTCTATTTGAGCTGCCAGGTCTGCTGCCTCTGCTTCGCTGCTGCTGCCTCTGCTGCCTCTGCTTCGCTGCCGCCGCCGCCGCCGCTGCCGCTGCCGCCGCCTGTTTCACTGGGGTATTAATATGAGGTGACACAGGCCAACACCCCCTTTGTTTTTCATCACTGGATGAGATTGAGATTGGTTGATTGTCAGAGGGAGGAGGCGCGTCACGTGTAAATGTATCCTTGAGTTGACTTCCTGAACTAGCTCGCAGGCTTCGCCCCATTTCTCTGAGTTGTAAAATTGTTGAAAACATTTGTAATAATGGAAGCACACAACTCGAGCAGATAAATACCATTATTGACGAAAGTGCGGTACTACACTAGGGTCATACGCTTTAAGGTATATATGCCTAAACTGAACTGTTTATCCTCATTACGTGTCTTTTTGTATCGCCCAACGCCTCCTTGTCTCCTTTAAAGCTGCATGGCGCTGCATCACATTCATATGGCACCTTTCAAGGCTCTCAAGGTCGCCGTACAAGATACAAAAACAAAGACAATATAATCAAAAACAACAGAGGACGTGTCATGAGTAGCGATCATATTATTGATGTGTTGATAAAGTGTGTTGTCAGTGTTTACCTGAGCAGGTGCAGCTGGCCCTCTGGGTTTCTCCAGCACAAAGGTTCCTTGTTTGAGGAGTGGCTGAGGCTGACGCAGTGAAACATGATGAAATGTTTTATTCTGTATTATGGTTCAAAATGAAGTTACAGAGCAAAGTTGGGGGGTCTTACTCTTTTCAACTTCCTGAATGCTACACATGACCTTCAACCTTCTACACATGACCTTCAACCTTCTACACATGACCTTCAACACATGACCTTCAACATTCTACACATGACCTTCTACACATGACCTTCAACCTTCTACACATGACCTTCAACCTTCTACACATGACTTTCAACCTTCTACACATGACCTTCAACATTCTACACATGACCTTCTACACATGACCTTCAACCTTCTACACATGACCTTCAACCTTCTACACATGACCTTCAACCTTCGACACATGACCTTCTACACATGACCTTCAACCTTCTACACATGACCTTCAACATTCTACACATTACCTTCTACACATGACCTTCAACATTCTACACATGACCTTCTACACATGACCTTCAACCTTCTACACATGACCTTCAACCTTCGACACATGACCTTCAACCTTCTACACATGACCTTCAACCTTCTACACATGACCTTCTACACATGACCTTCAACCTTCTACACATGACCTTCTACACATGACCTTCTACAAATGACCTTCAACCTTCTACACATGACCTTCTACACATGACCTTCAACACATGACCTTCTACCTTCTACACATGACCTTCAACCTTCTACATATGACCTTCAACCTTCGACACATGACCTTCTACACATGACCTTCTACCTTCTACACATGACCTTCAACATTCTACACATGACCTTCAACATTCTACACATGACCTTCTACACATGACCTTCAACCTTCTACACATGACCTTCAACCTTCGACACATGACCTTCAACCTTCTACACATGACCTTCAACCTTCTACACATGACCTTCAACCTTCTACACATGACCTTCTACACATGACCTTCTACAAATGACCTTCAACCTTCTACACATGACCTTCTACATATGACCTTCAGCCTTCTACACATGACCTTCAACCTTCAACACATGACCTTCTACACATGACCTTCAACCTTCTACACATGACCTTCAACCTTCTACACATGACCTTCAACACATGGCCTTCAACCTTCTACACATGACCTTCAACCTTCAACATATGACCTTCAACCTTCAACACATGACCTTCAACCTTCTACACATGACCTTCTACCTTCTACATATGACCTTCAGCCTTCTACACATGACCTTCAACCTTCAACACATGACCTTCAACCTTCTACACATGACCTTCTACATATGACCTTCTACCTTCTACACATGACCTTCAACACATGACCTTCAACCTTCTACACATGACCTTCTACCTTCAACACATGACCTTCTACCTTCAACACATGACCTTCTACCTTCTACACATGACCTTCTACCTTCAACACATGACCTTCAACCTTCTACACATGACCTTCTACCTTCTACATATGACCTTCTACCTTCTACACATGACCTTCAACACATGACCTTCAACCTTCTACACATGACCTTCTACCTTCAACACATGACCTTCTACCTTCAACACATGACCTTCTACCTTCTACACATGACCTACCTTCAACACATGACCTTCAACCTTCAACACATGACCTTCAACCTTCTACACATGACCTTCTACCTTCAACACATGACCTTCAACCTTCTACACATGACCTTCAACACATGACCTTCAACCTTCAACACATGACCTTCAACCTTCTACACATGACCTTCAACCTTCTACACATGACCTTCTACACATGACCTTCAACACATGACCTTCAACCTTCTACACATGACCTTCTACCTTCAACACATGACCTTCAACCTTCTACACATGACCTTCAACCTTCTACACATGACCTTCTACACATGACCTTCAACCTTCTACACATGACCTTCAACCTTCTACACATGACCTTCTACACATGACCTTCAACGTTCAACACATGACCTTCAACACATGACCTTCAACCTTCTACACATGACCTTCAACGTTCAACACATGACCTTCAACCTTCAACACATGACCTTCTACACATGACCTTCAACCTTCAACACATGACCTTCTACCTTCTACACATGACCTTCAACCTTCAACACATGACCTTCTACCTTCTACACATGACCTTCAACCTTCAACACATGACCTTCCACACATGACCTTCAATGTTCAACACATGACCTTCAACACATGACCTTCAACCTTCTACACATGACCTTCTACACATAACCTTCTACACATGACCTTCTTCATATGACCTTCAACCTTCTACACATGACCTTCTACATATGACCTTCAACCTTCAACACATGACCTTCTACCTTCTACACATGACCTTCAACCTTCTACACATGACCTTCAACCTTCTACATATGACCTTCAACACATGACCTTCAACCTTCAACACATGACCTTCTACATATGACCTTCAACCTTCAACATATGACCTTCAACACATGACCTTCAACCTGAGCCTGAAGTGGAAACACGTTGTTTTTATTCCATTTGATTTTATTAAAGTGTTTGTACCTGAACTTCAGCTCTCAGCTTCATCTGTCTCATCTCCTGGTGATACTGCTGCCTGATGACATCCAGCTGACGCAGGTACTCCTACACACACACACACACACACACACACACACACACACTCACACACACACACACACACACACACACACACACACACACACACACACACCACACACACACACACACACACACACACACACACACACACACACACACACACACACACACACACACACTCATTGTTAATCAGTCATTTAGTCATTCCAGCCCAAAAGCAGAGCTGCTTCTCTCTTTTTAAACTGCAGTCTCTAATATCTAGTGAAATACTTTTGTCAACGAGGAGAAGAAGATGTTAGAAATGTTTTGAAACTACACTTTGAAATTGCACGGTTTCTGTTTATTGAAGTCGATGCAGCTCGTATAGAGTGGAGCAGGTCACCACTTCCTGTCCCCTCGTCTCAGAGCCAATGGGATCTCTCCATAGGGTTTAGGAAACTATCTGAACTAAGGTCTGTGGTTGAGACACATTGAAGAGACGCAGTGTTTCCCCTACCATTGTCTTGGAGGGGCGCTGCGCCCCGCCGACGGCGCCCCGCCGACGGAGCCCCACGCCCCCCCCCGATTCAAGGTGTTTAAAAAAAAGTATTTTATATATCTATAGCACCAAATAGCAACTAATCTATATCTACTGTCACTTTTCACATCGAACATGTGCTCTTTTATTAAATAAACTAAACGCTTCCATTTGAAGTTGTGAGTTCAGTGTTTTTGACCCTAAGAAACACTGATGCAATAATCAATAACAATAATCCACAGCTCCTCTCTGCTCCAGAGGATTTAAAAAGATATATCCCATAACCCCCCCCCCCCCCCCCCCCCGCTCAGGCAGCACCCCCCCAAAGCAGTAAACCTAGGGCAGTGACCACCAACTGGCGGCCCGCGGGCCACATCCGGCCCGACAGACATTCTCATTCGACGGGGGTGACTGTGGCGTTGGCGGAGCGGTTAGTGCGTTCGCCCCCCACTCATTGTTTTTTTAACAACGTCTTGTGAGTAAGGTGCAGTACCGGAGTCCAACAGAGAGGCAGCAGCTGCGGGAGAGTAGACTGCGTACTGCGAAACCTTGGGACAGAGAAGCTTGGTGACAGACAGATGTGTTTACAGTTCACATGAACACACCTGCTTCCTGTCCTCAGGGGCATGTTGGAGTCCCAGGTGTTTCACTTCCTGTTGCGGACCCCCGGGCTTCCTGTGGCGCTCCGCTGTACACGGACGCAGCCCCTGCAGGTCAGAGGGGTCAGAGATCACCGCTGCACCGGATTGAGTTTTAAATGATTTTATTTATACTTTTTATTGATCTGCTTATTTCAGCAAAAAGATGCACTCTTCAGAATATAAACTCATATTTCTACATAAGCAAATCACGGCTGATCTGATCTGCACAATGAATACTTTTACTGTCGCTACTTTCACTATATTTTGATGAGAATACTTTTACTTCAACATTTTGAATGCAGGACTTTTACTGTAACAGAGTATTCCTGGTACTTCTACTTTTACTCAAGTACAAGACCTGAGTACTTCTACTTGTAATCAAGAACAAGACCTGAGTACTTCTACTTTTACTCAAGTACAAGACCTGAGTACTTCTACTTTTAATCAAGAACAAGATCTGAGTACTTCTACTTTTACTCAAGAACAAGACCTGAGTACTTCTACTTTTACTCAAGTACAAGACCTGAGTACTTCTACTTTTAATCAAGAACAAGACCTGAGTATTTCTACTTTTACTCAAGAACAAGACCTGAGTACTTCTACTTTTACTCAAGTACAAGACCTGAGTACTTCTACTTTTACTCAAGAACAAGACCTGAGTACTTCTACTTTTACTCAAGTACAAGACCTGAGTACTTCTACTTTTAATCAAGAACAAGACCTGAGTACTTCTACTTTTACTCAAGAACAAGACCTGAGTACTTCTACTTTTACTCAAGTACAAGATCTGAGTACTTCTACTTTTACTCAAGAACAAGATCTGAGTACTTCTACTTTTACTCAAGTACAAGATCTGAGTACTTCTACTTTTACTCAAGAACAAGACCTGAGTATTTCTACTTTTACTCAAGAACAAGACCTGAGTATTTCTACTTTTACTCAAGAACAAGACCTGAGTACTTCTACTTTTACTCAAGTACAAGACCTGAGTACTTCTACTTTTAATCAAGAACAAGACCTGAGTATTTCTACTTTTACTCAAGAACAAGACCTGAGTACTTCTACTTTTAATCAAGAACAAGACCTGAGTACTTCTACTTTTACTCAAGAACTGAGTACTTCTACTTTTACTCAAGAACAAGATCTGAGTACTTCTACTTTTACTCAAGTACAAGACCTGAGTACTTCTACTTTTACTCAAGTACAAGACCTGAGTACTTCTACTTTTACTCAAGTACAAGACCTGAGTACTTCTACTTTTACTCAAGTACAAGATCTGAGTACTTCTACTTTTACTCAAGAACAAGATCTCAGTACTTCTACTTTTAATCAAGTACAAGATCTGAATACTTCTACTTTTACTCAAGAACAAGACCTGAGTACTTCTACTTTTACTCAAGTACAAGATCTGAGTACTTCTACTTTTACTCAAGAACAAGATCTGAGTACTTCTACTTTTACTCAAGTACAAGATCTGAGTACTTCTACTTTTACTCAAGAACAAGATCTGAGTACTTCTACTTTCACTCAAGAACAAGACCTGAGTACTTCTACTTTTACTCAAGTACAAGACCTGAGTACTTCTACTTTTACTCAAGTACAAGATCTGAGTACTTCTACTTTTACTCAAGAACAAGATCTGAGTACTTCTACTTTTAATCAAGTAGAAGATCTGAATACTTCTACTTTTTCTCAAGAACAAGATCTGAGTACTTCTACTTTTACTCAAGTACATCATACTTCTCATCTTTGATGTAAATCCTACATGAATACGACAGCTTGCTCTTGAAAGCACTCTAGTGCAGAGTTCTATCATCTTCTGATATCTAACAGGAAGTTCTCCTGAACGATACAGTCCCTTTGATATGACACCTTTCTGCAGTGCTCCATTTATTCTTGAACAGTGTTGTGTTTTCTGAAACCAGCTGAGTGGCAGTGCGGTCTGACCATAGAGTCTGACCTGGAGGGACCTGAGTGAGCAGCTAGCATAGAACCAGCTGAGTGGCAGTGCGGTCTGACCATAGGGTCTGACCTGGAGGGACCTGAGTGAGCAGCTAGCATAGAACCAGCTGAGTGGCAGTGCGGTCTGACCATAGGGTCTGACCTAGAGGGACCTGAGTGAGCAGCTAGCATAGAACCAGCTGAGTGGCAGTGCGGTCTGACCATAGGGTCTGACCTAGAGGGACCTGAGTGAGCAGCTAGCATAGAACCAGCTGAGTGGCAGTGGCGGTCTGACCATAGAGTCTGACCTGGAGGGACCTGAGTGAGCAGCTAGCATAGAACCAGCTGAGTGGCAGTGCGGTCTGACCATAGGGTCTGACCTGGAGGGACCTGAGTGAGCAGCTAGCATAGAACCAGCTGAGTGGCAGTGCGGTCTGACCATAGAGTCTGACCTGGAGGGACCTGAGTGAGCAGCTAGCATAGAACCAGCTGAGTGGCAGTGCGGTCTGACCATAGAGTCTGACCTGGAGGGACCTGAGTGAGCAGGTAGCATAGAACCAGCTGAGTGGCAGTGCGGTCTGACCATAGAGTCTGACCTGGAGGGACCTGAGTGAGCAGCTAGCATAGAACCAGCTGAGTGGCAGTGCGGTCTGACCATAGGGTCTGACCTGGAGGGACCTGAGTGAGCAGCTAGCATAGAACCAGCTGAGTGGCAGTGCGGTCTGACCATAGAGTCTGACCTAGAGGGACCTGAGTGAGCAGCTAGCATAGAACCAGCTGAGTGGCAGTGCGGTCTGACCATAGAGTCTGACCTAGAGGGACCTGAGTGAGCAGCTAGCATAGAACCAGCTGAGTGGCAGTGCGGTCTGACCATAGAGTCTGACCTGGAGGGACCTGAGTGAGCAGGTAGCATAGAACCAGCTGAGTGGCAGTGCGGTCTGACCATAGGGTCTGACCTGGAGGGACCTGAGTGAGCAGCTAGCATAGAACCAGCTGAGTGGCAGTGCGGTCTGACCATAGAGTCTGACCTGGAGGACCTGAGTGAGCAGCTAGCATAGAACCAGCTGAGTGGCAGTGCGGTCTGACCATAGAGTCTGACCTGGAGGGAACCTGAGTGAGCAGGTAGCATAGAACCAGCTGAGTGGCAGTGCGGTCTGACCATAGAGTCTGACCTGGAGGGACCTGAGTGAGTAGCTAGCATAGAACCAGCTGAGTGACAGTGCGGTCTGACCATAGAGTCTGACCTAGAGGGACCTGAGTGAGCAGCTAGCATAGAACCAGCTGAGTGGCAGTGCGGTCTGACCATAGGGTCTGACCTAGAGGGACCTGAGTGAGCAGCTAGCATAGAACCAGCTGAGTGGCAGTGCGGTCTGACCATTAGAGTCTGACCTGGAGGGACCTGAGTGAGCAGGTAGCATAGAACCAGCTGAGTGGCAGTGCGGTCTGACCATAGAGTCTGACCTGGAGGGACCTGAGTGAGTAGCTAGCATAGAACCAGCTGAGTGACAGTGCGGTCTGACCATAGAGTCTGACCTAGAGGGACCTGAGTGAGTAGCTAGCATAGAACCAGCTGAGTGGCAGTGCGGTCTGACCATAGAGTCTGACCTAGAGGGACCTGAGTGAGCAGCTAGCATAGAACCAGCTGAGTGGCAGTGCGGTCTGACCATAGAGTCTGACCTGGAGGGACCTGAGTGAGCAGCTAGCATAGAACCAGCTGAGTGGCAGTGCGGTCTGACCATAGAGTCTGACCTGGAGGGACCTGAGTGAGCAGCTAGCATAGAACCAGCTGAGTGACAGTGCGGTCTGACCATAGAGTCTGACCTGGAGGGACCTGAGTGAGCAGCTAGCATAGAACCAGCTGAGTTGCAGTGCGGTCTGACCATAGAGTCTGACCTGGAGGGACCTGAGTGAGCAGCTAGCATAGAACCAGCTGAGTGGCAGTGCGGTCTGACCATAGAGTCTGACCTGGAGGGACCTGAGTGAGCAGCTAGCATAGAACCAGCTGAGTGACAGTGCGGTCTGACCATAGAGTCTGACCTGGAGGGACCTGAGTGAGCAGCTAGCATAGAACCAGCTGAGTTGCAGTGCGGTCTGACCATAGAGTCTGACCTGGAGGGACCTGAGTGAGCAGCTAGCATAGAACCAGCTGAGTGGCAGTGCGGTCTGACCATAGAGTCTGACCTGGAGGGACCTGAGTGAGCAGCTAGCATAGAACCAGCTGAGTGGCAGTGCGGTCTGACCATAGAGTCTTGACCCTGGAGGGACCTGAGTGAGCAGCTAGCATAGAAACCAGCTGAGTGGCAGTGCGGTCTGACCATAGGGTCTGACCTGGAGGGACCTGAGCTGAGCAGCTAGCATAGAACCAGCTGAGTGGCAAGTGCGGTCTGACCATAGAGTCTGACCTGGAGGGACCTGAGTGAGCAGCTAGCATAGAACCAGCTGAGTGGCAGTGCGGTCTGGCCATAGAGTCGGACCTGGAGGGACCTGAGTGAGCAGCTAGCATAGAACCAGCTGAGTGGCAGTGCGGTCTGGCCATAGAGTCGGACCTGGAGGGACCTGAGTGAGCAGCTAGCATAGAACCAGCTGAGTGGCAGTGCGGTCTGACCATAGAGTCTGACCTGGAGGGACCTGATAGTGAGCAGCTAGCACCTTTCATTGAATGAGAAAGGAATCAGAAACATGAATATGAGCTCTGAGCTTCTCTCACCAGCTGTTTCTCCGCTCGCAGCTTGTACTGGTTGGCGTCGTGTCGCCGCTGCAGGTATTCATGACGAGCTGCAGCCACACTGACACACACCACCACACACACACACACAACACACACACACACACACACACCACACCACACACAGGCACACACACACACACACAAATAATAATGTGTTTAGAGAGAATAATCATATTTTTAAACACTTTTTACTACAAATGTATTATATTTTAATTGCAACGCCGCTATTGGTCTCCTTTGTGACTTCTGAAACATAAGTGACATCACAATGGGACACTTTGCAGTGCAGATTGATCTGAACATAGAGAATAATCATATCACTAAACCCTGATATGAGATTATGGACTAGACAAATGTGATGAACCTCAGCAACCACGCAACAGAAGAGAGGGAGATCTCACCTATTTCTCTATCAGACGCCCAGGGGCGGCGGGTGCTGTAGGCTAGGGCAGGATAAGCCTTCCCAAATATTTGTGTGTAACTGCATACTGGTCAAATAAAAATATAATGTCTTTGACATTAGTGCTGCTATGCAGCCACCTGTGCCCTGTACCACGAAGCCAGTTCAACAGACCCTGGATGTTTGAGTTATCTTAACTATCCCTAACAAACGAGATCTCGCTAAACGGGTCCTACGGCGCTGGTTATCAACTCGGTAAATCAAGCCAGGGTTTCTCTCTCCAGCTGAGAACGCGTTCACGTGAAAGGGTGGGGTTAGCTACATTTGACCAATCACAAACAGCGACAAGTGTACTGACAACGCCAGCGTCATACTCATTAATGAAAAGTATAACTAATATTAGACAAATATGAACTTTAAACATCCATGATGACTTAAATCATATAATCCAGGATACAAGCCACATAGTTGCACCTGCAAGGAGAATACAGAACAAACTCGTTAAAAAATAAACTACCGAGTGTTTGAAAGCGTACAACAGTGTTATGATACTGCCCCATCTAAAACACGAGGGGATCTGACTTTATTACATTTGAGTTGAGTGTTTCGTCAACTTAATGTGTTGCTTAAAATAATACGTCTGCATACAGTATATGTGACAATGTAACTAAGTGTTGCACGGCCAGATACGGCTCGAGAAGCTGACTCAGATAAGGAAATATTGTGATATCGATGTGAGATCGATGATCTGATTGATGATGTGATGTCAGTGTGATATGAATGATAAGTGCGACACGTCGGCGTCTTCTCTGCATACGGCAGTTTAAACTGCATTTCCTTTATCCTGTAATATGACTTGATAGATTTAAACTCCGCACACTGAGCTCTGATCGGTCAGCAGGCGGTGCTTTCACTGAGTTGATCTCTTTTCTATAGAAAAGCGGCAGCGTAAGATGAAAACAAAGTTATTTAGCCTTCCCAAACCTGAGCCTCACGCGCCGCCTATGCAGACGCGCGTGTGTGTGGTGGTGTGTGTGGTGTGTGTGTGTGTGTGTGTGTGTGTGTGTGTGTGATGAGAGCAACACGTTCTCACTCCCATCCCGTCACATATTGACGGACGGTCAGGGCCCCTCCCCGTCGCTATGTGACGTACAGGGTACCCCTTGCCCGTCAGGCTTCTAAGGGCAGGGCGTCCCATAGACCTTCATTGCGGACAGCGGACCCCTTGACCGTCAGGCTTCTACGGGCAGGGCGTCCCATAGACCTTCATAGACCACGTGAATCAACAACAATGGCAGACCTTCGTGTTATTCTCGGTGGAAAAGGCCTATTTTAAGGTTCATTTGGCCAATTAAAATGCGTTTTAGGTCTATGGGACGCCCTGCCCATAGAAGCCTGACGGGCAAGGGGTACCCTGTACGTCATATAGCGACGGGGAGGGGCCCTGACCGTCCGTCAATATGTGACGGGATGGGAGTCTGAGAACGGTGTTGGAGAGAGAGTCTATAAAGGTAACACACACACACACACACACACACACACACACCACACACACACATATAATAATGTGTTTCTGAAAGCTCATCACAAGTCATGATCAGAGTTGGGTGTAACGCGTTACAAAGTTACTGTAATAATATTACTTGTCGGTAACGGAGTAGTGTAACGCGTTGCTTTTATAATCAGTAATCACACTAAACTGTAGCTAAACTAACATTGCCCCGACACGCGTTACTTCGTTACTAACAACCAGTCATAATCACACTGACAGACGAGAGGGGTTTCCGCCGCAGGTTTATATGTACGTAATCTGCGCGATTTGCGCGTCCACATCTCCACGTGCAGTGCTGGGTACACATGGCTGAGTCAGCGTAAACTCTCGAGGGGTGGAGGGTATGCCCATACTTTGAGTTGGTCCGAAGAATAGACAGGACTGTGACGGTGAGGTGAAACTGTGTCCAGGCCAGAAGCTGCTATCCACTGCTGGAAAAACACCACGTCAAACCCTATGGTCAAACCTCAACAAGCACCTGCAAAGAACACATGCTGAGGTGAAGCTAATAGCTAAGGACCCCCGGACCCAGAGGGAGGATGTTGTGAGTGTGCCGCCGCCGACTCCGAAGCAGCAACAATTAGAATGTGGAGGAGCGCTAACCAAATCAGAGATGGACAGGCTTGTAGCATCCTTCATAGTAGAGGACATGTTGCCCATGTGCACAGTGGACTCACCACCGCTCAGAGATACACTGCGCAACATACAGATAGCAGGAGACAGAGGACAGCCACGGTCAGACAGGAGAACATTCAGGATCTGGATCAGTCTGTGACAACTGAACCAAAGAGAACATTTGAAACTTCAGCAGTCTGCGTGGTCTGCCTGTAGGGAGGGGCGGGCCTGAGAGTAACGAGTGACTCTATGTAGAGAGTGACGAGTGACTTTATGTAGAGAGTGACGGGTTACTTTATGTAGAGAGTGACGGGTTACTTTATGTAGAGAGTGACGGGTGACTTTATGCAGAGAGTGACGAGTGACTTTATGCAGAGAGTGACGAGTGACTTTATGTAGAGAGTGACGGGTGACTTTATGTAGAGAGTGACGAGTGACTTTATGTAGAGAGTGAACGAGTGACTTTATGTAGAGAGTGACGGGTACTTATGTAGAGAGTGGACGGTGACTTTATGCAGAGAGTGACGAGTGACTTTATGCAGAGAGTGACGAGTGACTTTATGTAGAGAGTGACGGGTGACTTTATGTAGAGAGTGACGAGTGACTTTATGTAGAGAGTGACGAGTGACTCTATGTAGAGAGTGACGAGTGACTTTATGTAGAGAGTGACGAGTTACTTTATGTAGAGAGTGACGAGTTACTTTATGTAGAGAGTGGACGGGTTACTCTATGTAGAGAGTAACGAGTGACTTTATGTAGAGAGTGACGAGTACTTTATGTAGAGAGTGACGAGTTACTTTATGTAGAGAGTGACGGGTGACTCTATGTAGAGAGTAACGAGTGACTTTATGTAGAGAGTGACGAGTTACTTTATGTAGAGAGTGACGCGTGACTTTATGTAGAGAGTGACGGGTGACTTTATGTAGAGAGTGACGGGTGACTTTATGTAGAGAGTAACGGGTGACTTTATGCAGAGAGTAACGGGTGACTTTATGTAGAGAGTGACGAGTGACTTTATGTAGAGAGTAACGGGTGACTTTATGCAGAGAGTAACGGGTGACTTTATGTAGAGAGTGACGAGTGACTTTATGTAGAGAGTAACGGTGACTATGTAGAGAGTGACGGGTGACTTTATGTAGAGAGTAACGGGTGACTTTATGCAGAGAGTAACGGGTGACTTTATGTAGAGAGTGACGAGTGACTTTATGTAGAGAGTGACGGGTGACTTTATGCAGAGAGTGACGAGTGACTTTATGCAGAGAGTGACGGGTGACTTTATGTAGAGAGTGACGAGTGACTTTATGCAGAGAGTAACGGGTGACTTTATGTAGAGAGTAACGGGTGACTTTATGCAGAGAGTAACGGGTGACTTTATGTAGAGAGTGACGAGTGACTTTATGCAGGATGTACGGGTGACTTTTATGTAGAGAGTGAGACGAGTGACTTTATGTAGAGAGTGACGGGTGACTTTATGTAGAGAGTGACGGTGACTTTATGTTAGAGAGTAACGAGTGACTTTATGTAGAGAGTGACGGGTGACTTTATGTAGAGAGTGAACGAGTGACTTTATGTAGAGAGTAACGGGTGACTTTTATGTAGAGAGTGAGGACGAGTGACTTTATGTAGAGAGTGACGAGTGACTATGTATGTAGAGAGTGACGGGTGACTTTATGTAGAGAGTGACGAGTTACTTTATGTAGAGAGTGACGGGTTACTCTATGTAGAGAGTAACGAGTGACTTTATGTAGAGAGTGACGGGTGACTTTATGTAGAGAGTGACGAGTTACTTTATGTAGAGAGTGACGAGTTACTTTATGTAGAGAGTGACGGGTGACTCTATGTAGAGAGTAACGAGTGACTTTATGTAGAGAGTGACGAGTTACTTTATGTAGAGAGTGACGCGTGACTTTATGTAGAGAGTAACGGGTGACTTTATTAATGTAGAGAGTGACGGGTGACTTATGTAGAGAGTAACGGGTGACTTTATGCAGAGAGTAACGGGTGACTTTATGTAGAGAGTGACGAGTGACTTTATGTAGAGAGTAACGGGTGACTTTATGCAGAGAGTAACGGGTGACTTTATGTAGAGAGTGACGAGTGACTTTATGTAGAGAGTAACGGGTGACTTATGTAGAGAGTGACGGGTGACTTTATGTAGAGAGTAACGGGTGACTTTATGCAGAGAGTAACGGGTGACTTATGTAGAGTGACGAGTGACTTTATGTAGAGAGTGACGGGTGACTTTATGCAGAGAGTAGAGAGTGACGAGTGACTTTATGCAGAGAGTGACGGGTGACTTTATGTAGAGAGTGACGAGTGACTTTATGCAGAGAGTAACGGGTGACTTTATGTAGAGAGTAACGGGTGACTTTATGCAGAGAGTAACGGGTGACTTTATGTAGAGAGTGACGAGTGACTTTATGCAGAGAGTAACGGGTGACTTTAT